AGAAATACATTTCAAGATGTCATATTTAATAAAAGTATTTTTTTTTTTTTACTCTGGGTCAATATAAATGAGTTTTCTTAAGCCACCATGATTACGGTCTGTATTATATTACATAAGACCTTTTCTAGACAATTCATTAGACTTTGAAGTGGGTGTTCAAGTTTAATTAACTGCCACTTTGGTAAAGGTGCTGTACGTTTTCTATTGGCAGTGAAGTAATTATTAGCACAAGATAAGAGCGGAGAAGCTGAGGACCCTGAAAAGAAATCAAAATGTAAATTCAGCTCGTGGAAGATGGAAACGGAATATAAGTAATTGAGGTTTTCTAAAGGAAAAATCCATTCACTCCTACAGTGTATATTTTATTTATTATTTTGTTTCAGCTTCAGGCTATATATTCACAGTTAAGTGGATTTTATACGTCTATTAAAATGGACCTAGATCGGATGCGGTATCAAAAATTTGTCTTACTTTCTACTTGGCTTTTTTTTTTAAAGAAATTAACTTTATAAATACCATCTTTTCCCACAGGCAGAGTGCCTGGGATTAATTTTCTTCTTACACTGCTAGAAAGTCTTCAGAATTTCACATTTTTACATTATCTGTCCATAAAGGAAAACTTATCTTTCGCAAAAAAAAAAGTGTATTATTGCTACATAAGCCATTTTGGATATCAGTCTTATTACCTTCTCATTTACATCTACCACCGCCATGATCTTAACCTTCACTTCCTTACAATATGGGAACCTCAGGGCATTCTGTACACCACATATGTATAGAAATGTAATTTCCTGCTTGTGCGAGTGGCTCTGCTTTTCCCAGTGAGCTACAAGTCAAATTTAAAGCATCATAAAAAAATAAAATAAAAATTGCAACCATGCAAGCCTATTTATACCTAGCATATAAGGTGCTCATAGAATAGGCAGTTCACAGAACAGTACAAGTCTTAACTGCTTTAACAATTTGCATTAAATACAGACTTTTTTGTTGCGTACATTTGTAAATATATGTGAAAGTGACACTGCCATGACAAGGTCCCTCCGTAAAGTGTGGTCCCTAATGCCTGTGTTACAGAGCTGCTATCATGGGACATATATAGCAATGATTACATTGCAGACAGGTATGCCTTCGAGGTATCCCCTTTCCTTTTAAATGAGCAGACATATCGAAGCTCGAATGGCAGCTGAAGACCTTTGGTGTTAATCTTCAGAAATACAAACAAATAAAAAAAATGGCAACCACCCAGGTCAGATTATACCTAACATACCTTCAATGTATGTGGGTAGGGTTTGATAATAGTGAGGTCTGACTAACCCCAAACTATGTGGAAGGAATAGGAAAGTCCTACCAAACAAAATTCCCATTTTCCTCAGAATGTGAGACAGTCAGATTTAAATCTCAGGTCTGTAGTTGGCAGCCAGAGAAGGTGACACATTGTGATAAGCCACAAACCAACATGAAGCACTGTTGACAGAAAACAGGTCAAGATGAAAGCTGAGATATCATAAACCTCCATTAGCAGGGTCTTCAAAAGAATCCTTAGTAGGTCCTGTCATAAAATGTCTGCTGTGAAGGAGTCACCTTCATAAAAAATGGTTACAAGAATGTATAAGCAGACATCATGTAGACACCAAACACAGTTGATAAGACACAGTACACTTTCTAAGAAAGACATACATAAGATCCATATGCTATTTGGTGTCTACCAAATCATGATTTCTTTCTGTTCAATTATATGTTGGTTGTCAGATTTTAAAATCACGTCACATGGTAATATAGATGTATTTAGAATAGTGGCATTAATGGTTTGTCCTCTGAGAATAATGAAACACTCCAGCACACCTATCAAACCCTTCAAACCTTTGATTGGTTGGGGCTTGGATCTGTGACTCCCTCTTAAAGGGTAAACAAAAAGCTGCTGCGGTTGGCAGCTGGAGCTCTCATTTAAAATCAAAATTACCAGATACTGAGAGACACGTTCCTGAATGCCAGTGACTCTGCTATATTAGATTGTACTTACTCTACAAAAATTGGTCTGTACACAGAACCGAAGACCAGACAAACTTTACTTAGGTATTTTTAAATTTTTATCCCATTTATTTTTTCTCCTGCTTTGCTTTGTATGCTTTGTAATATATTTTTTCTGTAAATATTTTCTTGCAGCGTTTTTCTTATGTTTCATTGAAACCATATGTAAAAATGATTAAGTTGAATGTCTGAATGTTCTCATTAGAAATTTAAAACAACTTTTTGCTTCTTTGAAGAAGCTACCATATCTTAAACTCTGTTACATTCCCTGTCTGGGTGTATCAGTGAGCGTTAAACTTCTTTTAAAAAGTCAAGAATTACAGCAACAGGTGCAATGACGATGCGTGTTTCTGTTAAACATGTGGTGGCAGCTAATGTATCTGTATGTGTTAAAGGTTAGCTACATAGTTAAAGTAGTTTTAACTACTTCAGGACCTCTGTACGTATACTGTATATACGCCATGGACCTAAAGTAGTTGTACCAAGTTGCAGCAGCAGCCATAATCTTGGTACTGTTTTTCTCAGCAGGCGATTCTCTTCTCGTTCAGGTGATCTGGGCATCTGTACAGCAAGCTTTATAGTTGGATCCCCCCTCCGCACCGTGATTTGGGGGGTTTCCTGGTCCTCTGGGGGAGCCAAGGCAATGGCAATTAGTGTCAAGGTGGAGAGCATGAGCAGACCAGGGAACATCCATTCCCTAATCTGCTCTGTTAGCAGTGACTCAGGAAGCGCTCTGCTCACAGCGTTTGCTGAGACACAACTGTCAGAGACCAGTTGAAATACCAGTTAGACAGGGGATCGGGCACAATGCTGTGTTTGATCTCCTGCATTGGAGAATTTTAACGCTTGGCATGTTTGGTATCTGTGTACTTGATGTAACCCCATCGTTTATATTTTACCAAAAAAAGGTTATTACATTGTGTTTGTGTGCACTAAAATTAATTTAAGTGGTTTTTTTTTGTAAAAATATGGATTTGAGAAAATATATACATGTTTGGGGTTTTAAAGTAATGTTCTATCCAAAAGTGCACATTGTTGTAAGTGTGTACAGAAATTACAAATTTGCTCCGGTACTAAGGTGGTTAAAGAACTCCAGGGAAAATTTGTATTAAACCTTCCAGTGGGGCTACCCCCGCGCTGCAAGGTTTAACTGCTCGTTTGTGTCTGGGTGCTAAAAAAAACATTTAAACTTAAACTGTCAAGCTTTTTTTCACTAATGAATCCAGATCAAATAAATATACATTGCCCAGCAAAGTACTTTTTTTTAACCAAACAGTCATAATGTTTCTGAACAGCTGACTTCAACTCACTCAGCTCTGCTTTGCTGAACTTCCTGCCCAGTAGAAGACGACAAGGGAGAGCACAGTCTCCAGCAACTGTCAATCTACTAGCTTGGAGAAAGGAGGAGGGAGGAGCAGGAAGGAGGGGGTGGATGTGCTTGTGTGTCTGTGTAGACACACAGCTTACTAGCACACACAAGGATGGCTCCATAGATTCCTGCAAGTGAAAGAAGCCACCCTAAAACAGGATATATGGGTCAGTGCTCAGGGGACCAGCTGATTCTGCAGGAAATTAAAACTTTTAAACATCAGGGAGCAGCATCCATTGTAAGTGATTTGATTAGCTTTTGAAGTGCCTTAAAAACCTTTTGACTTTACTATCACTTTAACCTGCCAATGATGATCACTCTCAGTCTGGTGGTGCTTGGATTGTTGTTCCAGACAAAAAATATTATAATAATATCATCAAAACTTTATATTAAAAACTAGGGATGTTCAGATACCAGTTCAGATACCATTGCCGATACTTGGCATTTTCATGAGAACTACCAGGGTTGCAGCGCTCCACCACTGTCCTGAAATCATTAGTCTGTATTGTTTTAGAAAAACTGTCACTTGACAATAAACAAAAATGTATCAGTACTTGTATCTGTGAGTACTTGGATAAGTATAAGTACTTGTACTTGAAAAAATTGTATTGGTGCATCACTTATATATATTTATAAAAAAACAAATTATACATTAAAACAGAGATGTACAAATCCCAGGAGCTCCGTGTGCTTCCTAAAAATGACAGCTACACTTGGTATCTGAACATCCCTTTTAAAAACAGTGCATCATGTACAAATCTGAGAAGTACTCTCACCTAACCGCCTTATTCAATTTGTTATTCGTTATAGTCAACAGTCTACATACAAACAGTATGCACAATGATGTGACATAGAAAGCCGGATAGGCCCAAAGGCTAGAGCAGAAACACGTGTTTGTTACGTGTATATGTCCCAATATACGATCATTTGCTTCTTCAGGAGGTTCTCGGTAAAGTTGAAAAAAATTTACATAAAAGGCTGTTGGTATGAAGACAGATAATCAGCATATACTTTTTTATTAACCGTATACCATAAGTAATAGATAAGGAATAAATACCTCCTCAAATGATACATGTTGCTAAACCTCCTATGTTAGACCACTTATGGCGGCAAATACCTCTTCTCCGGTGGACATGGGAGAGGGAAGGAGAAAAAGCTAGGCCAGCCCCACAGCAAAAATCAGTTACGGGCATCTGCACTGCCTGTACTTGGTAAAGTGACACGCAGGGCTGGATTTGCATTAGGCACAGTAGGCCTGTTCCTATAGGCATATAGGCAAACGGGCAGCTTTTCCCTGTAGAGCTATCAATCATACATTTTTTTCCCTGCTATCAGTGTGAAAAAGACAGCTAGGAAAATATAGCCCCAGTCTATGTCATCTTTGCTGTAACTGTGATAAAGAATGCAGAAAGTTCTTACACATTCTCTGCATTTTACATTCACAGATATGTATGTCTTATGGCAATGAATTGTGATAAACAGTACAGTAGATCATGGATCAAATGTTCGCTATAGGTTATCTAAGGAATTAATTACTAATGGTAACAAATGAAAATGTTCTACTTTATGTAAAACAAGGGCTAACTCTTTTTATTCTACCTAGGTGCAAGCCTTCTAGATGATGCAAGCCGGTACTTCTGGTTCCATCACTCAGAAGGGGACACCATGACAGTCCAGAACCCAATCTGGATGAACCACTGTGCTGCTGTGTGGACTGTAGTTGCCTACGTGGTGGCTGACTTGGAAGAGATGTTGCCAAGGTAATGAGAAGACGAGGGGTAACCACACACTGCACAATGTGAAGGCGCTCATTTGTCTGGCGCCTCATCTGCATTCTGTGCACACACGATTTATGCCAACTTCTTTCCTTATTTTCATTTATCAAATTTTACTGTTCTTCTTTATTTCACTCCATTTTGGATATCATATCATTTTGTGCATATATTTCTTTTGTTTGTGCTTCTATTTTATTGTCCAATTTGATTGCATTTATCTAAGAGCTTGTATTTGTATAAAGTCTACTTCTGTCTGATTACATGAAATAAAGACGCGGATCCACGGCTTACTGTAATTCAGTTTATTGCTGTTTTTTATGCCAGCCCTTCCTGTGAACTTGCAGCAGATCATCATTTTATGCAGGCAGTTTTACATCTCTTTCCTGCCTTTGTGTTGTTGCTGCTATTTTATCATTATGATTGTATGTGACAAGATAGGGCAGGTCAAGTATCATTGCAGTGGCGGCTGCCTATTTTACTCCAGAGACCTAATGTATATACAGTAGGACCCAGCCAGTGGGGAAATGATACTGCAGGGATTATGTGGAATCTCTGAATACCTGTTACATAGAATAGTGAGAAAACAAACAGGGTACCCGGCACAAATTCTTAAGAGAATGGGTTCAAATAATTATTTAGTTAGAGGAAGTAAGTATGATAACATTTAAAGAATAACTCCTGGCAAAAATGCGGCAATTAAATGAAAGCAATGGATGTTTAAAGGGGTCGAAATTGTTGTTTCTGAACACAAAAAAATAATATTCCATGCCGGTCTAGAAAGGGAGCCTGTAAATTGAGTTTAGTATGTGTCAAGACCCCATCTAATAATTAAATGCAGTTAATGGCTGGACTCATCAGTAATCCCCTCCCCCATACTGACATCCACAAATGGGGCATCAACCTCTAGCAAATTTCACTGCAGCTGCAGCTTTCTAAAAGAAAAATAAAGAGCAAGTTTACAAAACCAGACATAGATACTGTTTTACTTTCAACTATTTGTTTTTATTATTTTCAGGATGAGGTAGAACAACGGTATTGCCCACGCAGGGACAGTGGATGTTTACTGACCTTTTTTTTATCTTGACTGTGGTTGTCCGGTCAACTACGGTCAACCTAAAAGGAAAAAAGTATTGGTTAAAGTGGAACTAAACTAACTCACCCTTCCTCTCCTCCCTCGCCAGAACTGACATCTTCAGGCTTCTGCGGGGAGGTGCAGTATTTGGACGTCCTCTGTCTTTTATGTTTTGAGGGAATGGGTGGATGCCATCCATAGAATGAGCCTAGAGGGGTGGGAGTGTACATTAGGCTGGCCATTATTCATTATGAATAATCTTGCAGAAGTTGCCCACACTTCCTAAGCAGGAGGATACATTAAACTGTGTCAAGCCCCTTACAGGTTGCAACTGGCAAAATGCTTTCTGATATACAATGTGCTGCCCTATACCAAAATATTGGTAGCACACAGGCTGTCTTATCACGGACACTATTTTATTGAACGTGCAGTTTTTGAATGGTGGTATATACATGTAATGAATGCTTTTAAAAAAAGAACTAATGTACAGCTCGCATAGCACCACTGTTAGTCCACTAATGTATATTAAGCATATATTTTCCTAGGAATCCATAGCAGTTCATGGAATGCAATCTGACAGATCTTCAGATTTGACTTTTATTACACAGGGCCTCTACGTCCACAGACAATGTACTTACCACCTCTGCACTCTGGCAGGCAAGGACTGAAGTTTTACCTGTCACCATATCTCACAATTCTTGGATCTGTAAAAATTATAAGGTCTTGAAGCTCCACAAGCTTCCTGTAAGGCCCTGGTTTCTTTTTTCCTCATATGTCATGATAGGTGTAGTAAGCCCCGTGCCACCGTATACATCGGGAACAGTTACAGAAACGGATGTTTTTACCCACCAAAATGATAAATACTGAATAATACACTTACCCTTTTCAGCCTCACTACATTGTTACACATACAGGAATGGGTAGAAGAAGACAAAAGAATGTAACTACAGCATTTTCTGTTGGCGGACCAACTAAGGACCAACCAAGAATTCAAAAAGGCCACCCCTCGACAGTCTTAAAATTAGTTGGTAAGAAGGTCCTCTTTTTGGTGCTACGTCTGCTTTAAAAGCCTTAAATCTGATACCTACTTTGCCAGTTGTACCCTAGCACTGCAAGGTCACGGTGCTAGCCACTAATGTGAGTTTCCTACTGGTGGCACAGAAGTGAGGGAATATTTTTTAATAGGGGGCATGCAGAAATAAAAATCCAACAGGGTTTTAGCCATCTCATAGTCTACTAAATAAAAGGCATTTTTATTTCTCTCAGTGTTGTTGAATTCCACTCACTTCCTGTCTAGTAAACTGATGTCAGCAGGACAAGAAGTGATGGGAGCCAGTGCTGATATTTGGTATTTTCACGAGAACTACCAGGGTTGCAGCCGTGACCTAGCTCTGGCAATCCACCACTGTCCTGAAATCATTAGTCTGTATTGTTTTAGAAAAACTGTCACATGACACTAAACAAAAATGTATCAGTACTTGTATCTGTGAGTAATTGGATAAGTATTTGTAGTTGAAAAAATGGTATTGGTGCATCCCTAATATATATGTATAAAAAAAAAATCCATTAAAACAGGAATGCACAAATTCCAGGGACCCCATACGCTCCTTTAAAATGACAGCTGCTGCCTAACTTTTGACATTTTCTCTAGTCTAGTGCTGGAGCTGGAAAAGTATCTGTACATGTACTTGTACCGAGTACGGTACTTGCTATCTGAACATCCCTAGTTCTAACCGTTCTCCACTATATCCAGAACTAGGAAGAAGTGTGTTGACTAGATATACACTTTAAGCAAACACAACTATCTGCCTCCAGTCTGTGATTAGATAGTGAAAGAGTGAGAACAGATTGATCAGTTCATCTCTCTGCTCTCTTTTTCTGTCAGCATGTAAATGCAGGATACATGATTGGTTTCTAGTACTGCCCCTCCCTCTTCCAGTCAGAGTACAGCTGTACAGTGGATTTACAAGAGGCTGAACCAGGCCAAATTCAGGTAATTATAACAAACTTTATTTATGTTTGCTTGAAATTTAGCTTTAAAGACTTTGCAGTGGCAGTAGAGTGACTTCATACTTGTATACGGTCAGTCAATAAGAGGTTGCTGAAGCTTGTAGCATTTTTAGAAGCAGGTCACCAATGGCAGTATAAATTATTTTCTCATGATCAGTTTTATTTAAGGTAATATTATGTATTATGCATGCCTAGAGCCCTGCTTATAGACACCCAGGGTTTCCATCAAGTAACAATGACACGCATTAGTCCTGAATGTGAATATATCTTTCGGAGTGTAAAGGAACCATGGGTCTTTTCTAAGTGGAAAGTGGTGACACATAGCTAATGGCGGTAATATCTATGTGACACATAGAACGAAACGGGATAATGAATGAAATCAGAAATGTTGCTTTGGGCTTTAATACCGGCAGCTGAGTTTAAATCATGCTTTATGGAATGTGCAGATTTGATTGGAACATATTCTAAATGTCTTATATAAACATTTCTATTTTCTTATTCTTCAAAAATCTGTTTCAAGTTTTATTCAGTCATTTTCCAGTAAATATAATGGTCCACACAGACACTAGTCTTGCACCAACCACTAAAGATCTTTCTCATATACAGGCATGCATATTTTCATCAGTGTGGTGTCATAATCCATTCTATAAACAGTATTCATGAACTGTCTCATTATGCATGTAAAGCATTCAGACCCATTAGCATGTTAGCATGCATCAGACCCATTGGCATATATTTCTGTATGTGGCCCCTCTTGGGGATAGTATTGTCACTTCCTCACCTAATAAACTCCCTAAGGCCTCATTCACATAGCTAAGTGTCGGCCCTTATAGATCCGTGCGGCGTGCACCGCCAGATCGGGTCATTCCCGGGAAGGACAGGTGCTGCGTGCGATTGTGCGCAGCAGCCTGTTCTTCTCTATGGGAGTACGCAGCCATATGCCACCGTACACTCACCCGAACTGCACATCTGTAAAGGTGCAGGTGCCAGTGCTCGGACGTACCAAGGATCCATCCTGTCTGCGTACGAGTACGGACAACCGCACGGATGTACAGCTCGGGTAAACGTACGTCCGCGTACTCCCATAAAGAGGAACAGGCTGCTGCGTACAATCACATGCAGCACCTGTCCTCCCTGGGAACGACCCGATACGGCCGTGCGTGTCGCACGGATCTGTACGGGCCGACACTTAGCAATGTGAATGAGGTCCTGAATTTCCTCATTCTAGCCAAAAAAATAAAAAACGTTTTGGCTGGAGTTTCACTTTAATTATGTCATATGTCTAATATCTGCTAGAATTTTCTTCTCTAGTAAGCAGCATTGGATGGAAGATATTAGTGACACAGAACTGCATGCAGCATTTTTTTTTAATATAAAGAAATATCGGATAACATTCTACTGGTCATAATGATCTATTCCTTGCTGTTATAAATACAATTCTGATATTGGATATGATTCATCGCTTGTTTCTTGCACATTCCCTCTCAGTGCTGGATTTATTTGCGTATTGGTAAACAAATCATAGCGCTGTCACTAAATCTTTCTGCTGCCAGGCTGCTCATTGTACTGACCCTTGTCCTGTACCACATATTATACAACCTATTTGCCTTCAGGAATACTGTACCACGGCAGACTCGTTTTTTTAATGGGAAAACACATATATTTTATATACCTATATGGCAAAAGTGCTTATATTTTTTTTATAGGTTCCTGTTTAGCTAAGCTGCATTATTTGCTACACTTAGGTTAATTTTCCACTGTCCAATAATCACATTGGAGTTACTTTCTTTTTAATTTTAAGTTGAACTCCAGGTATAAATATGTATTTATACTTATTGGTCCAGCTTGGCCCAATGTAATTGTAGTGACCCTGCCTTCTGAGCCTCAACATGTTCTATGTGCTGGGGGCTCTTGGGCCTAATTAATGACTGGAGTTTATACTTTATGGAGGCTGGACTGGAGTGACTGAGAGGAGCTGCCATCTGTG